TGGAGGGAACAACGACGACGACGACGACGAGCCGAGGTCAGGGTCTCCCGCCGGACGGTGCGTCAGTTAGTTTCCAGTACTGACTCAGACACCACCTCCCGCCGACCTCTGACCGCCGCCCATCCGACAGCCAGGCCGATTGGTTTATGGTACCATGAAGGCTGGTATCCTCTGCTTTTAACCTTCGCCCCAGTGCGGGGGGGGCATATGTTACCACCCTGTCGCGTTTTTTGCGTGTAAATAAAAAACCGCGGCGCGTAGCGCCGCGCCGCTTGGGGTAGCTTTTGGTACATCAATTTTGGACAAGGTGTAAAATTTTTGACCCCAGGTCATGTCAGGTCAGGTCACCAGGTCAAGCTAACTGACCAAGCTTAAAAAGTTTGCAATCATGTCCAGCCTGCAGTGTTTGTCAGAAAGGCTTTAAACTTGGTGGATTGCATGATGTTATGGGCGCCTACAATTTGTATATCTCAAATTTTTTATATCCGTGACCTAAGGTCAGGTCAGTGGCGTGACCTTTCCATTATATTAATCAACGGCAGAGGACACTTAAGGCAAACACGTTCTGGCGACAAAAAGACGCCGAACTGCTAAGCAATGGATGATTTCGAAGAGGTACATAGCCTTCAAAAACCCTCAGTACTAACAGCGTACTGATGCTTAAAAGGGTTTATTCATTTACTTTGATCTTTTTATGCATTGCGTATTTTATTATCTGTCAATAAGGGCTTCGATTTGCTATCGATGCCGAGAAACAAATTACATTATTTTGGGCTGCCAGGGGTTAAGGCAACCGCTAACGAAGGGCAACACTAGTCCAACACTAGTCCAGAGTATCACCAAAACTGCTCAGGAATGAGACAGCGATTGTGGCGCAATTCACACGCCTATTAATGTCCTTAGGTCTCTTTACGATGTGCTCAAAAGTGGAGTGACATGTCCCTGGGGACGAACTCAATGGGCAAAGCTAGCCGCGAACACGAGAAGCACAGGGCTGAAAAGTAAGGAGAGGACGGATCTCAGATGTCGCCTCGGCCGTTCCATTTATAAATGAGGCTAAACGTTGCTGAGATAAGCGCAGGCCCATGTCACTCCATATTTGATGACATCATAAGGGGGCCTCAGGACAATTAATGGCGCGGTGCGCCACAACTACTGGCAACAACTCGTTAGCGGTTGCCTTAACCCCTGGCAGCCCAAAATAATGTAATTTGGTTCTCGGCATCGATAGCAAATCGAAGCCCTTATTGACAGATAATAAAATACGCAATGCATAAAAAGATCACAGTAAATGAATAAACCCTTTTAAGCATCAGTTCGCTGTTAGTACTGAGGGTTTTTGAAGGCTATGTACCTCTTCGAAATCATCCATTGCTTAGCAGTTCGTCAACTACTGGCCAACAGCAGCCATTTTTGAAAATATTATTTTGAAATAAAGTTTCATGTAATGAAAATATTGTAATGAAGTTGTAGCTCAAATCTATACCATATCTAAAAATTTACTGAAAAATGAATTATCCATTGTAAAAATATAAGCTCGATGCGTTTTTACCTTGCTTTCCTGCCGCTGCAGAGGGTTTTTAAATCGTCTATATCTTCAAAACCGGCCATTTCTTAGCATATTGCTGCTCTTTTTTGTCGCTGGAAAATTAGTTGGGCTTTCCATTGAAGTCAACGGCTGAGTGGTATGTGTAGAGTGCCATCAATAATCTTCAAATGAAGTTAGTCATTTTTACGTTGCAAAGGAATGGAGTACCCCTTGCGAGCATCAGGGGTGACGTCACTCAGGATCAGTCTCTGATTGGTCGGCGGGGGAGTGACTGTACCTTCTATAGATGGCCTTGGATAAGCGGCGAAATGGACCAAAGAAGGATTGGAGACAAATACGCAATATTAACCCGCGCCCCGTTGGGCTCTGCCGAGCAACGCGCCCGGTTGGGGGGGGGGGGGGCATTTTGGACCCCCCTAAGATCTCGAGAACCACGCAACATAGCGACAAGCGGTAAACGGCGTTGGATAGCCCCAACGGGGAACTACCTTGTGACCCAATTTTATTGACCTAGGTCAAACCGATGACGTCACAGGTCAGGGCAAAGGTCCAATTTTCACCGTTTACAGGCACTTCAAGAAATACGTTGTAAAATCGAGTAAAATGCATTTCATTGAAAATCATCGATGGGGAAATGTTCTTCAAACACATATTTTGCTATTTGAGGTCACTGATACCAGGTCAGGTCACAGAGGTCAGGTCACGGGGGGGTCACAATATGAAAGTGTCGTGTGATACATGTTTTATGGTCCATTTTACATGACAAATGCGATTATATGGGTCAGGCAGCCTTTGGAGCCAGGTTAGATCACGTTTTGGTCAAGGTCAGGTCAAGGTCAGGTCAAGGTCAGGTCAAGGTCAGGTCAAATTAGGTCAAATTTCAAAGTTAATATTTTTGCATAAAATGGGTATCGAATCGATGCAGCTCGTCACGGGGAGTTCAATGGTGGTCTTTGTTTTGCCGTACGTGGTCTAGAATCGCTAAAAATTGAGTTCAAAAATTTGACGTCATCATTTTTGAACAGTTTTTTCGCTATAACTTTGCCAAAAAACAAGACATTGATCTGAAATTTGGTATGTAGATAGAAGACGGTAGGTACTATCACATATATTCCGGCTTTTTGAAACTCTTTTTTTGTGGATTTTTTGGCAAATATATAAGAAAATGCTTTTTTGATTTTTGGGGGTAAAACCTTTAAATTTAAAAAATCCGAGATAGCTGTTTTGTAGCCCTATCAATCCTACACCTTTTACATCTGGATCATTTTTTTGTATCTTCAAAGCTGTAGGCCTGACAGTTCTTCTCGCGAAGGTCTTTTTTCGGTCGAAAATGGCAGAACATGACGTCATTTTGACGTCATTTGTGGCCAACGTATCATAGCCTCTGGAAAATTATTTGGTCATAATGTGTAAAATTGATGCCCGGAGAGGTCTTGAAAGTTTGGTGGCGATATCTCTAGCCGTTTAGGAGATATCGACGGAAAAGGACAGGGGGAGGGCAGTTTCGGCCCCCTACGGGGCGCGGCCTAAGTGGTGTAAAACCAGACGATTTTTACGCTTGTAAAGCAAAAAAAGAAAAATGTACACTCACCACGGTGTTCAGGGAAGTACTGGGAACAATATAGATATAATTTAAAGCTAGTACGATGCAAACTGTTGGTTCCCTAGAGCAGGCGCGCACACAGGATTTTTGAATGGGGGGGCACGACCTTCGAACTGGGCCCCCATGCCGAAGGCCCCCCCCCAAAAAAGTACGGCCCACGGGGTTATACCTATTTCGGCTGGTTTGAAGCTTGAGCAGTTGGTTTGTCAATGCATGGTAAAACAATCATTTCGGTACCAGCTTAATTTCAAAACATTAATATTTTTACGCTATAACCTAACATGTTTTTTTTCTCTCAAATGCGACTCAGAGCCGGTATATATACCTAATCATCCAATTTATTACGTAAAACATTTCATTAATAAACATTTTTGCAAGTCCCTCAGAAATCAGCCCCGGGCAGCGACTGACTGCCGGCCGGCCGACCGGCCCCGGGTTGCTAGAAGCATGGGCATTGGGCCGGTCACTGTTTGGCCCGGATGTGTAGGAGCGGGAGCAGCACTCTTTTTTCACGAATATTCGCATATTTTTTAGGCACATCGACATGAAATATAATTATATCTGATACGATGCGGGATCAGAGACTAGAGATCCAGCTTATAACTTATTTATTAACTTATATTTAACCCATTAGAGCCGAAAACTTTTTTTGTCGACTTTCACTGCGATTTTAACATATGTTTGTCAGGATAACCGTTAAGACAGCCCATATTCAGCCCAGATTCAGCCCGGATTCAGCCCAGATTCGGGACACCTCCGATCAAACTGAAACTCGCACACAATGTAGGCCATGACATGCCTAATCCACAGTCTAAGTCATTCGGCGGCACTCCCAGCCGTTTGACCTACAGAGGTCAGCAAAGGTCACGTGGCCCAAATTTGCACAGCAGATTGTGGCCCACCCAGTAGAGCTAGAGCGCTAAAAATGGCATCAATCGACTCGCCAGCATCTAATCTTACTTTCCAAACACTCATTTGACCTCGCAAGGTCATGCGATGACCTAAGGTCATTTGTGGGCTATGTCGAAAATACCCTTGCACAGCAGTTTTCGAGTAGAGGGATTGAATGAATTCCAAATCAAAGCACATCATCGGGTAGCCCATAGGCCGTAGTAACTTTTGAATTGATTGGAATCGAAAATTGATTGGAATGTAAACAAGAATTGTCAAGGTTGTCTAAAAACAATATGGCGGCTGCTGATTTTCGGTCGCTAAATGACTGCTACGCGCGAAAAAGTTCAACCGGTCAGATTTTTTTTTCGGTCGTCGCGTAAACATCGTTTGGGCTGAATGCCTCCATAATATTGGCCGAGTGCACAGTCGATGTGTGGGTCATTCGGCCGATATAAACACTTGCGCGAGAAAATCGCCGCTGTAACGACCGAATGAACCGGCCGAATGGATAGTGTGCGGTGGCCTTAAAACTCGGCTGTGATTATCTCCCTTATGAAGTGCTACGGAACGCTGTCTTTAACGGCACGAAACAACGTCTTCTGAGCCATGCAAATGCTTTAATCGTAATCTTTGATGAATTTACTGTCGGCTAATGTGCGTTGTTTTCCAATTTTCGGGAAAAATGTCTTTGAGGTTTCGCGAAGCTAGACCGGCCGGATCGCCTACGATGCAGCGGAGCGAGAGTTAAGACATTTGCGAAAAAACCATAGAAGTGGGGTGTTCAACTCCCCAGCAGGGCTATGAGGACGTCATAAGATTCATCTGATCTTTGTTTAGACCAATTGCGTGCAAACGGTTCACGAAGAAAAGGCAGGAACTGTTTTGTGTTTGACGTTCGTGCTGCAGGTAATGTGATTCCAAAAAGTAGCCCAGAAGTGAGACTACAAGTCTAACCTGGATGAAGTTGTTCCTCTTCTCCTCGTTCCAAAAGGTCGGATGGTTAGCCACGTACTTGCTTGATGGTCTATCTTTTGGTAGTAGCCGTATCATTTCTGCGATCAGCGTCTTTGCTGAACCCTCTTGGAAAGCTTCTAGGCTGAAAAAGTAATTGAAATAATTCAATCCTTGCGCTGAAAAGGGGACAGCGAGATCCCCTCTTTTTTACGCATAACTCGCAAAAGGTGGTCGATCGCGATAGAAGTTTTAGTAGGTACTCTCGATTAACCCTCGCCCGCACATCGTAGCGTTGTCAGCGCGGCCACCGGCTGGGCGCCTTTCGTAATAACGGAACACCCGGGCCGCACGCACAGCCGTTCCGTAATTGGGGGATGTAGTGATGGCAATGAAAATAAAAGACGTAATGGCGAATAAAGTGGTACCAATCGAGTTGAAATAACATCAACAGAGTCCTAAAAACATTTTTTACAATATTGTCTTTCAATATTTCCAATATTCATCGCAAATGTCATATTTTCTGAGGATTTCCTTCCACCGTTGTGACACCTTCAGCACTATGGGCGCCATTGCTTCTTTGATCTTTAAATTAAGTACGCCTTGGAAAGGTCTTGGAGAGTCCTATCGAATGTCACCTCGCGGGGGACTTGGTAGGGATCATTGGCTCTTAACCCGCGCCCTGCTGGGGGGGGGGGGTGTTTGAACACCCCCCCTTGTGGTTTTTCGCGGATATCTCAAAAACGGCGGCGCGGAGCGCCGCTGTTTTTGGTACACCTTATCTTACATCAATTCTACACATGTTGTGAAAATTTCAGACCAAGGTCATTCAAGGTCAGGTCACCAGGTCACTTGAAGTGACCTCACCTCATAAAAAGTTTCAATGTCTGTCATAGCTACACCGAGTGACCGATCGCTTTGAAACTTTCATCGATTGCTAAGAGCAATAGCATGTACAAAATGTATATCTCAGAATTTTGATATCGATGACCTAAGGTCAGGTCAATTTTGCGACCTCCCCATTATAAGTCAATGGGAGAAAATTGAAATGCGCCTCTTTTGGACAAAAGACATTATAAACACTCCCAAACACCGAATTACAAGTGACTTAGACACACTGAACATGAAAATGGCGTCCGTGACCCTTGTTTATGCCCTGAGGTCATCTTAGGTCACGAATGGTATCTAACAGTTTTTCGCAAATAACTTTTGATAGAGGCATGCTAGAGCGATGAAAACGCCTTAGATGTGTTCAGCACGACGATACGGATCGACTGATATGCAACATGACCCTTTCCGGTCAGGTCATGACCTTGACCTGAGGTCAAATTTTCAAGTTGACCTTTCAAGGTCAACTTATAGTTCATTCGATGCGTCTTGACGAGAGGAACACAATGCCGGTAAAAGTAAGCTCGTACAAGGCTTGGGTCAAAAGTTATTGCAGAAAAACTGTTTCCGAAAAAATCGGCTATTTTTGCAATTTTTGCCCCCTGCAGGCAAAACCGTTGACGTTAGGTCAAATCTGAGAGAATTACTCAGAAAGGGCTTTAGTAGGGCTATCGAATGCGCTTTTCCGCGGCGCTGTAGCTCTATTGGTTCTCGAGTTATGCGTTGGCTTCTTGGAAATTTTCGACATTCGACCTGGAAATCGGCGAAATTTTGCCTTCAATGACCTCTGGTGACCTGACCTTTGACCTGACCAAAAAATTGACCGAAGTGATTTCGTCATTATTTTTGACGCTCTTTCGAACGCCGCCTTCCGCGTATCGCTACGTGGCCCAGGAGCCGAGTTACAAGGGGGGGTGTTCAAACACCCCCCCCCCCAGCAGGGCGTGGAAATCCAGGACCCCCAGCCGGGCGCGGGTTAAGATATCGGTGGTAAACGCGTTCGGTCATATTAACCCGCGCCCCACTGGGGGGGGGCTATTTATAGCCCCCCCTCTCGTTTTTCTGGAATATCTTCTCAACCGCTGGACGTATCAACACGAAACTTTCAGTACCTTCGCCTGCATCAATTTGACACCTTGTATCAAAACGAAAACTTTCTAGCTCCCATAGGTCGGCTGGAAATGACGTCAGAGTGACGTCATGTTCGGCCGATTTTGATGCAAAACATTGAACTACGGCAATCGCTCTCAAGAGCTCAGTTTTAAAGATAGATCCAAGTTCTTTGCATGAGAGGACTCAGAATAAACAGGGCTATCAAACTACTATCTCGGATTTTTAGAATTTTGAAATTTTCGAAAATTATACATATAAACTATAAAAAGTTATATTTTTGATATTTTTTCAAAAAAGTTTTTGTTTTTTTTCGAAAAAAAACCGGAAAATATGTGATAGATCACATACAGGTGACCTACTCTACGAAGTTCTGGACCGATATCTTTAAAAATAGCCAAGTTATACGCTATATAGTAAAAATATCCGTCATTATCAAATTTTCAAATCAATTTTTCGGTACGTTTTTGACATCGTACACCAAAATAAATAGCACGATCGTGTCCCTGAGCTCAAACTGCATCTGATAGTTACTTTTTTGTTGAAAAATTTTATCTTCAAAATTTGACCTTTTTTGACCTGAAAATGATTTGACCTCAGCTTTTTTCAGCTGAAAATGGCCTGATATGACATAGAAGACACTGATTTCGAAATCTATGGCCTAAATGGACCATAAAACATGTGTCACGTGACCGATTAAATATAATATTTCCGTGACCTAGGATGACCTGGCCGTGACCTGAAAAATTCAAAGAACAAGTTTGGTACCCTCAGGGTATCTTAGGCATGTCTTCATTAGTGTGTAAACCAAAAATGAGCCTGATCCGACTTTTGAGCCGGCGGCCAGAGCCCAAATAGTTAACAAGCCAAAATGTCGATAATTTTTACTTTGACCTGACCTGTGACGTCATCGGTGACCTCGAGGTCAATAAAATTAGGTTTCGCTCGACAGTTTTTCCAGGGCTATCAGACGCCGTTTGAATTTTGACAATCGGCCCAGTAGTTTCGGAGTTAGGAGGGGGCTATAAATAGCCCCCCCCCCAGTAGGGCGCGTTATAAAAAGACCCCAGTGGGGCGCGGGTTAATACCCGAACACGCAAAAACTCCGTCGCCGATGAGATTTGAACCATGATCTTCCTCTCATTTCCAGTCGGAAGTTTTTTTACCCCCAAGGTACCAGTTGGGTATTTGTCGAATGATGCCGAAACAAGCACCAGTAGTTTTAGAATTGATAGCTCTATCAGTATAGCTTGAAGGTGGCGTACCCACTGATATAATGTAAGACGAGGAAGCCAGCAAAGTCCCAAATCATAGAATTTCACCACCAACCCAATGCTAAAGAGATCCGACTTTGGGTGCTTCTACCCCCCAGGTACCACCTCAGTTTTTAAGAAATGCACGATTAGCCGACTGATATTGATAGAGCTTGAAACAAGGAACGTTTTGAGGCTGAAGGTGGCGGTACACATTGCGCCAGTTTTATTTGGGTTCAACTAAACTTCAATTTTGTACGTTTTTTCAATGGAAAAAGGGTAACGCCAGAACATACCAAAAAAGTCCGTGGCCACGCTGACAACGCTACGTGCCATTTTCCCATCCTAGAACGCACAAGGGGGGGGGGGGTGGTTGCCACCCCCCGCGCCATTTCGTTCCTGTTGGAGATAGAGCTCAGCGGTAGGACCAAAAAGATTCTTTGGGAAGAAACGAATCCAATGATACCCAGTTTTACCTTCTCAGGTCAGTCATTGACCTTCCAGGTCAGGTCAAACTAAAAAATGTTGCTGTTTTGGGTCACCGTTGGATATCAAGTGCGCTGCTTATCAAATACCGATGACGATGCTGTTTTCTGGTGCCAAGCCAGCTAGAACCTCTTTGTCACACTACCCGACCAGAATTTTGCTGCTGAGGTCATTTCAGGTCAAGTTAGGTCAAGGTCAATTATATGTGTTTGTATGTCTGTGTGTGTCTGTGTGTATACTGATGTGTGCACCGATTGTTTTTGGGTCCATATTACATGAAATCATGATCTGAGAAGATTTTACCAAAAATGCAGTCAAAAAACTTTACAAAAAGTAAATTCAGCTTGCCTAAAACGCAATTATCTTAGATGACCTAGGTTGACCTTGACCGTGACCTTGACCCCTGTACATCGTCGAACAACATGTTCCATGATAGGTGGGAGGTAAGACTGGCAAAAATGCCGAAATCAGGGTGTCAAAAGCTCACAAGGCCCATGGCAAACGCAAGATGTTGAGAATTGGCCATTTGGGTCATGACATGACCTGAAAAACAAGGTCATATCTCCGAAACCAAAAAATAACAGAAACTTGAAATTTTCAGTGGACATCAAAAAGGATAGAGGAGCAGCTATACGAAAAATCAGTCTTCTAGCTCTAAAAATGTTGAGTGCAGAGCAGAAAGACTACCTGGGGGGGGGGTGGCAACCCCCCCCCCCCATGTGCGGGCGAGGGTTAAATTGAAATAGAAAATTAAGAAAACTTCCCCCTCTCCGAAACTCCCCCGTATCCCTGTAACCTAATGGGGGGGGGGGGGTCGAGCGTACCGACACCCTCGGTTTTGGCGAATAACTCGAGTAAAAATTGGCCGATCGCAACGAAACTTCCAGTACACTCGCGTTAATCTGCGCCCTGGTAAGGCCTGACGTGGTGGTGGTGGTGGGGGGGGGGGGCTATTTTGTGCCCACCCTCGTATCTCCGAAAATATTGAACGGATCCGCAAAAATCAAACGGTGTTCGAAAGCTCTGTCAAATTTGTCGGGTGAACTTCAATTTCATTGACCTCCGGGTCAGCGATGATGTCACAGGTCAGATACCGCGCACCGACGGGGGTCCGCGCCAACTTAGAACTGTCGCGGGAGCCGATCACACTCAGACTCGATACTTCACTGTATTATCGGTAGAGGCCAAAACAAGAATAATAGAGCCAACCGCTCGTCACCACCGTCTGTCCGCCTCTCCCGGGTCGCCGCCCGCCCAGCCAGGGCCAGCCGCTGACCCCGCCCCAGGGCCACGCGACAGGGGCGGCGCCAGGCGCGGCCAGTCGGGGAGGCGCCACGGGCGGCGCCAGGCACGCCACAACGGGCGGTCACAGCCGCCCGTAACACCCTTCCCCCTCATGGAAACAATC